ATCGCTCTTGACACTCCTGGGACCTACCCAAATCGTAAACCTTTTGTTCTGTCATATCATAATCACGGTGGAATATTTATCATGCAGATCCTGATGAAAGTGCTGTCGTCTAACGTGCAGAAGATCATTCGATTCGTGAAAATATCATGAATCAAATTATTCAAAAAGTCTAAGGTATCTGATATCCAAAATGCATGCGGCTCTATCGTGCTTCACGACGATCGTAATGCGACCCAGCCCTGTGGTTCTCGACCGGTGGGTCGCGAGCGGATCAAATATAAATAAAGCAAAAGCGTAAATAATGAAGAGATATAAACATAGGAAGATCAGAGTGCCGAATCGAAGTCCCTCGCGAGAGGACAGAATTTGAGCTTACATTCGTTGCCTCGGACCACCCTCTGAATTCTGATGAGAAATCGAGACAGGAATGCAGAATTGGGACGATTTGCGAGCAGACGAACGCACGACCAAAAAAAAAAGGATTCTCTTGGAAATCCCAACGATATCGTTTTATGTGGATGCATCAATAACGGATCGCAAATCCTTATTTTCCCGGATGGAAACTAGACCCGAATGAATGCAAACGCATGAAATTTGAGAACCCGAGGGAAACCCCTCACCCTTTCCGGCACTCTCGAATGCGCCTGAAATGCCAAGGCGGGGTCGGTGCTCGAACCGCATCCACGCCAACTCGGAACAGAATAAATCGCTTCAGCCGTGAGAGAAAGTCGTCACATCGCTTCCCATCTCGTCTCGAATCGAGAGCCAGTGAGGACGTGGAGTAGCCGAGGAGGACGTGAGTGGCATGTGCCATGGGCCGTACCCAGGATATCCAACGCTCTGTGCGAGATGTCGATCCAGCGACCCCCCCCCCCCCCCCCCCCCCCCCCCCCCCCCCCACGTGAGAGAAAGTCGTCACATCGCTTCCCATCTCGTCTCGAATCGAGAGCCAGTGAGGACGTGGAGTAGCCGAGGAGGACGTGAGTGGCATGTGCCATGGGCCGTACCCAGGATATCCAACGCTCTGTGCGAGATGTCGATCCAGCGACCCCCCCCCCTTCCCCCCACCCCCCACCCCCTTTATACCTTTCCAGTTTCCCCAGTGCCAACAATACATTATGAATTAATTTGATATTTAAAAAAAATTAATAAAATATTTCTATGCTTAATTTAGTCACGTTCAGGATGAGTTGCAAGTTCCATTCATATTTCGTAGCGATTTGGCGCCCGATTGGCGGCCCCTCGAGTCGGCGCCCTGTGCGGGCGCACCGCTCGCAGCCCCCTCGGTACGGCCCTGCATATGCGATCGGGAATTATGGCATGCACGTTCAAGGTTCACGGTCGGCCTTGCTATTCAACTTGCGGGGCTCGCTACTACGCCTTCTTTTTTTTTTCAGACGTTGGGATTCCTTCGTGTCGACATCCGCTCGATTAATATCGCTGACGGTCGAGGCCGGAGAAGGTTCGCATTCGGAATAGGCATCGTGCGTTTTGAGAGACGGTGCGCTGGATCTCCAGACGTGAAAAAAAAAAAGATTTTTCACACCTGAAGGTCTGGGTAGGGACGTGAAGAGACGCTCTCGCCCATCGTGGCATCTCGTGTCAAGGCCCCACGTTCGCGTATAATAAGATAGGCTTCCCCCTCTTAAAGACAGTTATTTTTGTGGAAGCATATCCACCTACTGCCTCGCCGCTTACAGCTACAGCGCTCCTTTTTTGCCTCGTCCATGAAAACATTTAACTTTTTATTAAGCTCGTCACGGAAGGGTGAGCCACTATCATCGTCTCAACGCACTCCACTTCCTCCTGTTAAAATCGCCACTAGTCATACACGTTCCACTCTGGAAATCATTAGTTGCAGGAGCTCCCCCCCCCCCCCCCCCCCCCCCCCCCCCCCC